GATGGTGCAATAATACAGTTTGTGTTGATCAAGTGATGTGGTGTCTATGTGGAATGCGCTAACGTTGCAGCTTTCACTTTCCCTAGGTGACAAATAAGATGGTGTTTATTTTGCAAGTTTGTTTCCGCAGAAGTGACGGTCATTCATTTATTTGCAATTTTGCGAGTATTTCTTGTGGTTTTAGGCAAATGAAGTTAAGTCTTTGGCTGTTTCATCGCAGCGAGTTCGGTGATCAGAAGGAAAATTAAATATTTGCAAGCCAAGCAAAGAACATCTCAGAACATGCGAGGATTACGTCATTGGTAGGGAAACAACCACCGTACTAAAGATAGCCGTGGATAACGTAATTCTGTAATTATGTGACTCGTGTGACTACTTTGCTCGCCCTTTACTAGTGCAAAAAACCAATTAAATTTAATCATTTTTTTTTAAGAATAAAAGCTGTTGTTAATAGTGTTCGTATCTTTATGCCCATACATATCCCGAAGAAAGTTCCAGATTGAGACTATTACGTCATCGGAGATTTCACAATGGCTACGACTGATGGTGCAATAATAGATTTTGTGCTAATCGAGTGATGTGGTGTCTACAGTAATCAATGAATCATCAAAGACTGCTTTGGAATATGCACTCCATTGCGACTGTAAAGCTAAGAAAACAATTTAATTTTAAAAGCGGGGTTATAAGATCTAACAGATCTTCTTGTTTTTTGTCGGAGACCAGACGCAGACCTCCACTCGGCCAACTTTGAATTACGCAATCTGTAATGTTTACTCGCCAAACCTTGTTTCTTGAGTGTCAACAAAAATCTCAGATTACAAAGTCACGCCGAACTCACGCTTTGCAAAAAAAATCTCTTAAATACCCTGACTTCGAAGCGATATATCACTTTAGCGTTAATAGCTACCTCATATCGGCACTAGTGAAATCTATTCCTTAACAATTCAGCTTCTTCATATTAAAATTTCAACGAAATCGAACAAAACCAGAACTAAATATAATTAGATTTTTTTGTCACCTCGCTTCATTGCTTGAGTCAACAAAGGAAGCGACGGTCGCCCATAGCCACCGAAACACACTAACATAACACGAACCGACGTTTCGATAAAAAAAAAAAGAAAACAGGATTATTGCCTGGGAGTTGAAAATTGAAGAGGAACATCTTTTTCGAACTTTTCTCAGGTTATTTAGACGAAAAAATAACCTCGGCGGGATCCAAAAGAGAACGAAACAAAAAACAGAACGAGACAGTGAGAAGAGCCGATAATTTATTCAATTTGTTCATTTAAAAAAAGCTTACTTCTGGATAATTTCAGCCTTACAAGCCAGCAACTGGTCCCAAATTACTTTCTGTAACCTTACAAATGTCCTGGCAAATAAACATTAGGGTGGCTTGCATACTAATTCGATACATTTGAGACCCCAACATTCAAGATGGTTGCTATTACCGTGACGAGAGGACGAGATGACGAGTTGACATGACGAGACGACAAGTTGAAGTGACGCAGTGACGAGTTGACACGACGAGACGACGAGTTGAAAAGATGACACGACGAGACGACAAGCTGAGGCGAGGAGATGACGAGTTAACACGACGAGTTGAGAGGACGACACAACGGGATGACAATTTGACGTGACGAGAAGACGAGTTGAGACGACGATACAGCGAGTTGAGACGACGATACGGTGAGTTGAGACGACGAGATAACAAGTTGACACGACGAGACGACAAGTTGACGTGACGAGAAGACGAGTGCAGATGACGATACAGCGAGTTGAGGCGACGATACGGTGAGTTGACACGACGAGATGACAAGTTGAAGTGACGAGACGACGAGATGAAACTTTTGTCCACGATTTGACGTCATAGTTGCGTGATTCAAAATTTGGCCGAGAGGAAGTTTGGGTCTGGTCACCGACAAAGACAAAACAAGAAGATCTGTTAGATCTTATGACCGCACTTTTAAAATAAAACTGTTTTCTTGGCACTACTGTCGCAACGCAGTGCACATTCCAAGGCAGTCCTTGATGATTTATTGATTACTGTAGACATCACATCACTCGATCAACACAAACGGC